ATCATCATCATCTTGTGTGTTGGATAATCCAGAAGAAGTTACATGAATGTGGTTAGTATTTGTATTTTGTGTAGTTTGTGAGTATTTGCTATTTGCCATGGCAATTTGTCTAAGCATTTACTTGTATGCTGTATGTAGCAGTAGGTTCTTGTATATAGTTTCCCTGTTGGGGTATTCATTGTTCAGTCTTTAGCTGTATAGATAATGTCACACTATAGACTTTGGGTGACATCATTATTTGCTAATGGTATTTATTTTTGGCTCTATTTTTGCATTGAGTATCACAATGGTGTAAGCGTACTTCGTGTTATTTCATTTTATTTCTATGTAGTAAATTTAAATTTTTCCATCTTTATTATAGTTGAATTGAACATGACATGTCATCCTCAATGTTCATCTGCTTCTGGTTGGTGCTGGGGGCCTAATGATACTCAATGTGTGACTTGTACAAACTTCAATTTTAACAGACAATGTGTACCAGATTGTCATGACTTTAATGCACACGGAATGTAAGGATATCTATTGTATTGTATATAATGACATTGCATGCTCATGGCTACATAATGCACTAAATCTCAGCCACAAAATTCTATATGCTATCACCATCATTCGTAATCTTTACTACTGAGCATGTAAGATAACATGATATCTATGCATCAAAACATGGAGAACAATTAGATATTGTATTGAACAAATTTTGAAATTATTTTTAAAATTCTGATTTGATCAGAGAATCACATTACACAAGAACATGCGGCATGCATAAAAAATAGATAAGTTTAGCATTAAAGTATAATAAGCTCAAATTGAATGCATAATATATAACAGAAACTTAGTTGCGTATAGTCAATAATAATTTTTTAGTATTTTTACATATTAAAATTTTAGGTAGACTAGATCAATTATAATGTTGGTAATTTGGGTCTTAAAATAACTGATTTATTACATAGATACAAGAGTAGATTGATAGATACAATATACAGAAGTGTATTGTATCTATCCTTATTAATTCTCTCCTCTTTACTTTGCTCTTTCTCCTTTAGTCACTTATTCAATCATAATGCTAGCAATACTTGCTTGCCTTGTCACTCATTTTGTAATGGTTCATGTGCTGGAGAGGTATAGATTGTTTATTTATTCAGTATTTATTAATTGCATGATTGCATAGGGTCCTGCCAACTGTAGTAGCTGCAATACTGATTTCTTTGTGAATCTAAGTGCTGGAATAGGTAAACTGTGTCTAGAGTCATGTGTGGGTGACACTTATTTACCTGATGATCGCACTAGTGGTGAGTAAAATATAAAGTGTGTTATACTAGTTAATGTTCTTCAGGTGAATGCCTGCCTTGTTTTGATGGTTGTACTCTTGGCTATGGCTGTGCTGGCCCTAGAAAGACATTCAATGACAGTAATGGCTGTATAGCATGTGATACCATTTTACTTGATAGAAATGAAGAACAAGTGAATGACTTAAAATTTTTGTATTAACTTTTTGTACTGGATGTAGATGGAGTGTCAGAGGAATGTAACCTGTCCTTCTGGCTATTATCGTGAACAGTTGTTAGAGGATCGTGGTATTTTTCTTACTGGTACTGTTTTGTGTCATTCCTGTCATGAGCTTTGTGCAACATGCAGTGGGCCTTCAGTTAGTGATTGTGTTCTATGCTCATTTATCAGAGGCACTAATGGCTCATGTGTTTATCAATGTGACCCAGATACAGGTAGCTACAGCAGTTTATAAATTATGTTGTATTTTTATTCATGCAGAAAACACTGGATCATCACAGTGTTTTATAACTACAATAGATTCTACTTTATTATACACTCTTGCCTCCACAAGTGTTACTTCTACAAATGTTACTTTAATTTCTACAATTGTCAGATCTCCTTCTACAAGCGTCACAACAACAAGTGATAGTGTATCTATTGAAGTAGTGATTGGGTCAATAATAGGAGTGGTGATATTTATTTCAATCATTCTTATGATTCTGTTCTTAATACTGCTTTTACTTAGGAAAAATTGGAAGTCTAGTAGTGATGACTTAGAATTAGATACTCTTAAAAATGAGGCTAGCATTAATGATGTAGACTAGTCAATGATCATTTTTTTGTTATAGGTACATAATACATCAACCTAAAGTAGCAACTTCCTAATTCATTGAAAGAACTGTCACATTTATGTGAACCTGGCCTAAATTATAATCCAATTACATGTTAATTAGTTTGCATAATTTGGTGTAGTGAAAATTATTACAGCTGAAACACACAAAGCTCATAACAAAAATATAAGCTAATGTTAAATGATGCTGTTCTCATGTGCAAGGCCACAATACATTTGTGTCATGCTATTAATGCTAACACTGTAGACACAACATACAATTTATTGCATGCAAAACATTTTATACATGTAAGTTTATGTATACTGGTACAGGTATATGCATTAGAAAAAAGTTTTAAAATGGAGAATTTTCTCCTTTTATAAATTTTGGCAAAATTTGGCTCATAACCCTGTACTATAATTATTGCAGGGAATTTGGCCTGATTTTTGAGTAACTTAAAAAAAATTTTTTAATTCATAAAATATCAAGCTTTGATCAGAATCAGCTCAAACTTTCTATGCAACATAATAACATGTATAATGTATCAGAAAAATTATAAAATTGTGAATTCTCTTTGAAATAATTTTGGCAAAATTTGGCTAATTTTGGAGTAACTTTAAAAATTTTGTAAAATGTCCAAACTAAAGTGAAATCAGCTTAAACATTCTGCACAACTTAAGTATCAGAAAATGTAATAAAATTGAGGAAGTCTCTCCTTTTCAATTTAGGTGAAATTTAGCCAATAAAGGGGTACAGGAACCCTATACTAGACTTTAACTCAAATTTTTAGCAACTTTAAAAATTTTTTAAAAATCTAATTTTGATTGGAAGCAGTTCAAACTTTTTACAAAACATACAAACATGTATAATGTATTAGAAAAAATTATAAAAGTGAAAAAATCTCTCCTTGTCATTTTTTGAGCAACTTTAAAATATTGTAAAAAATCCAATATTGATTGGATTGAGCTCAAAATTTCTACATAACATAAGTACATGTATACGCTTTTGATAGGAATTTTGATGAATTTGGCTGTACTATAGTACAGGGCCTTTAATCTGATTTTTTGTCAGAATCATCTCAAACTTTTTATACATATATAAATCTATACATGTATATGCATCAGAAAATGTAATTAATTATTTTTTATTTTAGTTACTGTAAAATTGTCTTGTGATTACATATTGAACAATAATGCTGGTGACAATCTCATTGACATTATTAAACTGGTATATTAATGATAAAACAATCATAGATATTAGAGGAAATGAAAGGGATTTGAAACTATTGTTCCTGATGCCAAGCGATGTGGTTTTTATCACACCTGATTATCTGGTTGGCAACATTCATGTTTGTGAGCATTCACCATCTCCTCCAAAGTAGTTTTTGTGCAGAAAGGATTTCAAAGGAATATTGTGTATTATTGTGAATATTGTGTATTATTGTGAATATTGTGTATTATTGTCTAACATTGTGATATACCTTCCTTACCACATAAAAAGTTTAGGGCTACCTACATGTATGGCAAGTTTTTGTTTCTATACAGCTGTTTTGCAACTATTATGGGTACATTTGCATCTTTTTGGTACTTTTCACTTTTACAGCTTTTATGCTTTTGCTATTCTAGATTTACCTACACTTGTATAATATAGGTAATTAAAAGTTCTTTTATATACTGACAAGCTTTCTAGTGTTATGCCTTCATTAGAGGGGGGGAAACAGCAATTTTATGGGCAAAAGCACTATAAGACTGAAAATAATAATTGAAATATAAAATAATATTAGTTACATGTAACAGTACAAAACATTTAGCTCCTTGATAAATGGGATTTTTTTTCATCAAAGTACTCTTTTGGGAGTCATTCTATTTTGAATGCAAAATCAAAATTTTGTGGTCAAAAAGTAACAAACCTCCTAGTCAGCAAAATTATTTGCTTATAGCAGCAGTACAGTATCAAGTGGTATTATTGCTAAGCCCATGCATGTGGGAGTTTTCAATCCCTTTCATTTAGTCTGATATCTATAATACAATGTACTACAATCAACCACACCATATCTCTCTTTCTCCTGTATCCTAATGCTAATCCATAAGCATGTATTTCATACAATATTCAATAAAATGTTACTATTGAACAAGTACTAATCTGTTACTTGTATGGTCAGTCAGTATTACTAACATGCTATTGTCCAACTTTCTGTATTTAATGATGTACAGCAACAAGTATTACATAAAGCCTATAAAACATACTCACTTACACCTTCTACTTCTATTGACTGGTTGATCTAAAGAAATTCTTACAAAGTAGACACCTTGCTGAAGCAAAAAAAATTTGTGGCCAAAAATCACATTTATTTAGTGGCTTTAATTTTTGTGATTTTATTCTTTTTGGCCATCTTGAACTGTATTCAATTGATTTTTGCAAATTTTTGCTTTTGTGAATTTTGAAAAAATGCAAAAAATCCACAAAAATTTTCCAGTAGATATATGGTAGTACTAATAATTATTAATAATAATAATAATTCAAGTTAGCTCAGTGTTCAGGAGGTTAATAAAGAACACTTGTTTTAGGGTAGATATTTACTGAATAGTTTGATCTACATGGTTAAAGTCATGCTATTTTCTAATGGTGAGTCATTTTATATTAATAATTATATAAAAACTGATCGATGAACAAAGGTATCATAAATAACTATAGCTAAACTATGAACACTGTCTGACAGTGTACCTGGAGAACTAAAGAAGATGTTTGAATTTATTTCATTTGTATAATAAAAATTATACTATTAAATATTAAAATAATTATTAAAATTAAATATTAAAAAATCAGTAAAATGATAAAAGTGTATAAGTACAAGACTATGCGGAAGTTAGATTTATGGATATAATATATAACGATTCTAAGGTGTTTTGGCATGATCAAAATACAGTGGATAACGATAAGATAGAACAATGGTACAATGGTAATAAGGTAGTACACTGGTATAATAGCAAAAGGTGGCCATAGTTACATTGACATTAAGATGGTATTAGGTATTTGGTGTACATGGTAATGGTAAGATGACAAACGGTGTCAAATGTCAGTCTTAGTTGTTAAGATTAATGTTGATACAAGTTAACATTATTATATTACGAGTATTGTATAGGTGATATTGGTACCCATTGGTGTATGGTGATATAATGGTATGTAAAAGGTGGTAAAGTTGTGATAAGGTGGTGATACCTGTAATAGTAAAATGGTGTTTATTATGATACAATAATTAGGTGATACTGGTAACCATTGTGGGTATATCGTCTAATGGTGATGATGGTACTAAAATGGTGTAAGGTATAGTTTAAGGTGGTACAAAAATACGGTGATTGGTGATAAGTTGGTAAGATGTTGACTTAGATGGTAAGATGATGATAAGTACAACGGTGTTTACAATAATAATCTTGTCCTTGTTAGTCAATCTGTGTGCCTTTTGGGTTTTTCATAACATCTATGCCAACTTTGTTTTGCTCCAAAAAAAATTAAAATGTTAACTACTAATGAATCAGGATTAACTGATTAAGCTATTTCAACATCACAAGTGGACGAGGTTTTAAACCAAATGCGTTAATTAAAAACCAAACAAGCTCTAAATTAGAACTCTTACTAGCAAAATAAAATAGACTTTTACAATCGTCAGTTTCAGCTAGTGCATTACATTTGAGATCAGTTAAAAAGTATTGTACTAACTCCATACTACCAGCTTCACATGCTCCATGAACTGAAGTGTATCCATTATTATCAGGATCATCAGGAGTACAGGGGAAGGTCTCTATGAGATAATGTACCATATCAATATTATCAGAACGAGAAGCATAATGAAGAGGAGTACGACCAGACTTGTCCTTAGGTACTGGATTGGAGACAATGTTTGGTTCCAAATACTGGTACATATAAACTCTCTTTCTCTCTGCTAGTAAGTGTAAGCAGGTGATGCCATCTTCATCTTCTGCTAAAGGATCCAGTCCATGTGTCTCAATTAGTGTTCTTACTACTCCAATATCTCCTCTCTCACATGCTGCATGAAGTAAACCACGTCCTGTATTATCCATTACATTAACACATTGAGGATAAATATTGGATAAATAGCAAAACACATCAATATAGCCATGACTGCAAGCTGTATAAAACACAGTAGATCCTTCATTATCAGTAGCTGTAAGGAGATCATGATGAGTAGAACTACCAGTGACTGAGAACAGTAAAGCTTCAGCGGTATCCTTATGACCAGAGGCAACTGCTAAGTGTAATGGTGTCTGTCCTTTCTTGTTAGTAATTAATAAGTTATTGTTAGACAGACTGGCTTTTAGTAATAGTGATACCATCTTCTGTTTTTTTTTCTGACAAGCAAGATGCAATGGTGTATTACCATCTTTATCTTGTACATTAATAAGTACAGCATTATGTGGATTATTGTATATGTGATGAGGACTGTCTAATAAACACTTCATCCCACGTAACCAGGCAACACTCATTGAGGGTTTACTCTTACTCAGTAAATATTCTAATATTTCAAATTCATTAGCTGCTACAGCAGCATGCAGTGGTGTACGGTCTTGATAATTGGTTGCATTAGGATTACAGTAATTGTTATCAATGAGATACTTCAATACATTCAAGTGACCTTCTACAGATATGTGAACTGCTCCAGACCCTTCATCATCAGTAGCTGATACGTTACACTTCTTACTAATAAGATATTTGATAACTTCTAACTGGCTAAAGTACACTGCAATAAGGAATGGAGTACGACCATGCTTACCGTGAGGTAGTTCAAGTGATGATGGTATGTGTTCTATAATGTACTTGATCAAGTTCAATCTTCCCTCACTACATGCTAAGTGAATAGGAGCCATTCCCTCATCATTCACAGCACACAAATCTAATTGATGATTCTCTACCAGATGCTTGAGTATAGGAAGAGAGTCACTGTACTCACAGGTAATGTGAAGAACTGTCGATCCATTAGAAGTCTTAGCTGCTACATTACACAGAGGAAGACTAGTGAGATAAAATACAACAGGAACATGGCCTCCTTCACATGCTTTATGAAGAACTGTAGTACCAGTATCAGTAGTAGTGGCATTAACATCACACTGATACTTGTTGATCAGTTGCTGTAGACAATGTAGCTTACCATTATAAGCAGCTGAATGAGCTAATGTGTACTTGTTATTGTCAGTGTGATTAGTAATATCCACACTATACTCCTGACTGTACCATTCCAGTATATGAGTATGACCGGTCTGTGCTGATGCATGCAATGCTGTGAAACCATATTTATCAACAGCTAAAGGATCAAGTTTATACTGTTGTATTAATATTTGTACTAAATCAAGATTACCTGAGAAACAGGCAAATGTGACACATGTATTGTCACGTGTATTCTTAGCATTGACATCACAATTTATATCATTAATTAGAAATGCGACCAATTGAATATTACCACTATTACAAGCTAAATGCAATGGAATATGATAATCATTGTCAGTAGAATGTAGTAAACTAATGTATTGAGGATACTGAGACGTGATTTGTTTGATAAAGTGAGTGTGACCTTCGAATGACGAGAAATGAAATATATTCCAACCGTTGCTATCTGTTAGGCTCAGACTACACTTGTAATCCTTCACATATAATTCCAGTAGTAAAATATCACCAGATTGAGCAGCATAATGAATTGGTAGCTTACCATTACTGTCAGCTTGATGAGGATCTAACTTAGAGGTAGTTTTCAATTTTTTAACAAGAGTTAAGTTAAGAGACACTGAAGCATACTGTAAAGCAGTCAGACCACTCTTATCAACTGCAGTAGGAGACAAATGTTTGGTAGTAAGATACTGAACTAAATTAAAGTTACCACTCCATGCTGGTGTACTAACGTGCATCCTTCATTATCTGTTTTATTAATATCACAATGCTGTACCTCAATGAGATATTGAGTGATATCAATATGACCATTACGACAAGAATGATGAAGACAAGTCATGCCATCATCATCAGTGATATTAGGATCACTGTTATGATTATTAAGAAGATATTTAACAGATCTAATACTACCAGACAAGCAGGAGTAGACTAATGGTGTACGACCATTATAATCAGTATCATTAGCATTGAGATTATACTGAGATATAATATAACTTAATACACAAGTAGAACCTGACCAGGCAGCATAATGTATTGGAGACCTACCAATATCATCTAATGTACAATTGATATTATATTCTTCTAATGCTTTCACTAGTAATGTACTGCCACTGTGTGATGCTAAATGAAGTAATGACTCACCATCATTCGTAGTGGCATTAATGTCAAAGTTAGGGCAAGTGCTAGCTTTCTTGAGAAGTGAAGAAAACATTTTACTTCTTTCATTTTGCTTGATAAAATCAATATTTGGTTTTATTTGAGTTTTATTGATAATCTCAATATTTGATGCATCACTTTGTGCCATAAGCTTACTATAAATAATACCACGTGGAATTTGTATACCTGCTTTACATGCATAATGTAAACATGAGTAGCCATCATTATCAGTAGCTAATAATGCTTCATTACCTTGAATACTAACAATATACTCAACAACTATTGATGAACCATACCACGAAGCAATATGAAGTGGTGTCCTATTATCTCTATCTTTCACACCAATAAATAATTGAAATCGATTTACAAGATATTTAAAAAGATCAACATTATTACTCATAGAGGAGTAATGCAATATGTTGAGTCCATAAAAATCAGAGGAATATTTTAAGAAGAGGTTTAATGATTCAAGCTTGTGGACTAATGCTAACTCTCCACTTTGACAAGCTAACAATGATAAAGAAGCACCTTCACAATTAATGTGAGAAGTATTACAATTTTTCTCAATAAAGAATTCCACTAGGTCAAAATGGCCCCCCATTGCTGAGTACAGTAATGCAGTGTTATTGCTATTGTCTGGTTGATCAGGAGGAATGTGACATGTGTCTACTAGATATTGTACTATAGATAAGTGGCCTTTATAAGATGCCATATGTATACTAGATACACTATTATCATCACCTTCATTAGGATCAATACCATATTGATGGATGAGTAGTTGAAGGATCTCAATGTGTCCTCCATATGATGCAGATTGTAGTGGAGTCCAACCATGAAGACCACGATGATAAGTGCTGTAGCCAAACTTGTTAAGAAGCCATTTTAATTCATCTTTTAATCCTCTCCAAGCTGCTTCATGTAATGGTGTACTGGTATTCTCATACCATAATGGATCACATATATCTATAAATGAAAAATACTTATACATGTATATATCATAACAGGCAACATGCTGTTTTACCATATCCCACAAGTTATGTACAAAAGGATTGACTAAAGGTCAGTTCATGTACTTACCAATATCAGTAGATGAGTACTTAACCTCTTCTATTGAGAACTGTGAAATTAGAAATAATAACTTGCACTTTGTGTCATCACAAACCTCTCTTAGATCATATTTATTTTCACCACATGTTAGTTCAGTGATACCAATACTAGCTAACTGTTGCTGTAGCTTTGTAGTTAGAGGAAATAATAAAGAATAAAGATACTCAGGAATAAGATATTCCAAACAGAGGGAATTCAAGTGAATGAATCTGAAGTGAAGATCATATTTAGGAATATCCAAACCTTTTGGTATTGCTCTACCAAAGAAGAATATGTCATCCAGTGTGTAGTCATCTCTGTCAACTTTAGCAATCATTACTCGTGTACCAGGAGGAACACCTTTTACACCAAACTGTACAGCATCAGCATTTTTCAATAGTCCACCACTGTTTATAAAATAATCCTTTAACTTCTCTTCATAATCTGACCAACATCTTTTTAACGAAAAATTTTCTGGTAGACATACTCCAACAAGTTTTATCATTAGTTTATAGTTGAACCATGATATGTATTTGTCTTGTAGTGCAGTGAATAGTTTTGATTTTGTTTCAATGCATTCAAACTCTTCTTTAACTGCTTCAGCAGTTGTTTGCAGTTTTTTGTTAGGGCCAAGTAGAGACATTACATGTGTTTGGAGGTAGTCAATGATTACAGGGAGATCACTTGATTTGAATGACTTTTTTGTCATTTGAATCGCCTTGTCAAATTCTTTTTGTAGATTATGTAACTTGATTGCTAAGTGGGAGCTATTTTCAGAAGAACCATCTTTGTCAGTACCTAAAAGGATTTTTTTGTGTGTCAAACATAATTTTTTTGGCACATTAAAGTACTTAGTATTGTAGCTATATAAAGTGTAAATGGTTAATAAGCTCTTTTTGATAATTAAATTTTACAGTTTCGTTATGCAATTAATAATTAATTTTATTTTGAAAATAAATTTTGCTGAAATTTATAGCAGATTACAATCTTATTATAGTGACTCATGATTATTACTAAGTGAAGCAGAATTATTAAAATTATTTATTTTCCATTTATTAGCATATATCGTGGAATGTTTGTACTATAATGGAATGGGACCACTACTACCGCTTAAGGCTATAAAAACTACTGAAATTTTATGACCCATGAATAATTATGATTAATAACAACCAAATTACCACATGATACCATATAACAGGTTTATTTTGAGGATAATAATTTTTGCAAATTGCCACTTTTCTGCCATCTTGTATCGTATTAAATTGATTTTCAAGGAATTTAATTTTGTGAATCTTAAAAATTTTGTGAAATTCGCAAAATTTGATATCCTCAAAATAAACCGGCTATATGGTAGGTTGGGAAATTATCATTGTTAAAATAATTTCACTTTAATGGTGAACAGTGATAAATATTTTTGCAATGTATCATATAATATTACAAAAATAAAGAACAAAACGAGACACCTACAGTGCTTGGACTCTCTGCAGTAGGAACATTAAAGCAATAAGTCATGCATGGGCTATGATTTACTTAGTGTTGTTTTAGTTACAAAATGAGACTTTTAGTTAGCAATAGTTAGATCTAGTTATGGAAGTTTAGATTTTGATTTTAGTTAGTTTAAGTTCAGCTCAATAAAAATACTTTTAGTTAATTATTGTTAGTCTTTTAAATTTTTAAATATTTTAAGTTAGTTATAGTTAGTTAAAAAAATTTTTTAGTAGTAGTTAGTTAACTAAAGTAAATTTGGCCTAACTAAAAGAATTTTAGTTTTAGTTTTAGTTAGCTAAAACAACACTAAATTTATTGCTTTTAACAAAGCATATTTTTTACATAAATACTAACACCTATTATAATGGCACAGACACTGTTGTCTTGATAAATTTTATTTACTTAAGGGATCATGCATGAGAAAATATACATTAAGCAGCTTAAATACTCAATGCAAGTTGCCAATTGTTAGTAGAGGCATGGCTTCTTTGCCAATAAGTTGGCCTTAGCATGATAGACTGCACAATTAACGTAAGGTAAGGCTATATGTTAAGATAGGAAGTGCTCTACAAACCAATGGGCACCATTTACGTAAGGTAAGAATAGAAATAAGCTCTATTCTTACCTTATGTAAACAGTGCCCATTGGTTTACACAGCACTTCCTGTCTTAACATAATAGCCTTACCTTATGTTAATCATGCAGTGTGAATCAGCCTTAAGGAAGCTAAAGTTGTTCTTCTTACAAGTGGCTTATGATAAGTAATATGCTGCTTAGATATATTTAAAAGACTAGCCTCAACCCTTCACAAGTCACTGGGATCGGTGGCCAGGATGAAATTTGGAGCATAACTGAATCACTACCAAACTTGAAAATGATTTTATCTATCTCGAGAGTGTCTGTGCTCATTTGTTGTATTTAAAAAATTTTTCTCCCTTTATACTTAGCAAGCTTCTTCTTTCTAAAGTTGCTCTTTAAATATTTTTTCTGATAAATGAAGGCTTGGGCTACTGAGCTATGGAGAAAGATCTATGAGTCTAGAGGACTCAGTTTTCTAATTAGTTTTGCAATTTGTGAATGATAAAAACGCAAAATTTAAATTTGCATGCAAGTAATGAAACTTATGGATGCTTGACTACTGTTAAAGCTGCAGAAATTTAATATTGTTCCTAATTTGATAATTGGTATCATATACCTGATAAACCAGGTGACATTCCTTCGTTATAGACTCCCACAGTAGCTGGTAGAGGATGTTCACAAGCTATTTCATCAGCTAATGCTGGATCACCTCCTCCTTCTTTAACAGCTACACACACTCTCCTCCAACAAGGAATACCATAAGATTCATAATCATAATTTTTCTTTAGCCAATACTCGATGACTTTCTGCAGACAAGCAATAGTATCTCCATGACAATCAGCTTCTATCCTGTTAATTGTATCTAGTTCAAGATGCCAGGAAATGGCTATCTGTTTCCAGCCAGCTGCAAGTGGTTTTATTCTATCATAAACAGCATAGAAGTCTTTTTCACCTACAAAATAATCATTAATGTCAAATACATCCACAAACTCACTTATTTCTTTATTGCAAACATATATGAAGGAAGATGGGCTTGTAGCCATAGCAGGTTTGAACTTTGAAAGGAATTTTTACACCCACACAAAACAAACAGCCCATGCACCCGTGTACCAGAATAAACTATAATCATTTTGATTAAATTCCTGTTATGGTTGGAGCAACTTAAAAAATGCAATTTTGATTAGATCCAGTCAAACTTTTTTGTATAGTATAAAACATTAACATGTATCAAAAAAATGAAGAATTCTTTTTCCTTTCAGTTTAATTTTAATGAAATTTAGCTAATGGCCCTGTACTATAGTACAAGGATTATTACCCAAAATTGCAGTAACTTCATAAAAATACAATTTTGATTGGAATCAGTTTAAAATTTCCACACAACACAAGTACTATACATGTAAAGTGCATCAGAAAATGAAATTACTTGTGATAAATGAAGTGCCTTCCTTTAACCTTCCAAAGTCAATCAGTCTATCATGATCTCTAGCAATAGAAATGAATTGAGTTTCAAATCAGAGCAACCAATTAGCATCTTTATCTACACTATTAAACATAACATTTTTATTATTGCAATAGGTCTTTCATTATCCATGCCTTGTACATCTGAACCCTTGTTTATTCAAACACATGTCACATCCCTCCCATATACCATGTGTAGGTGCAATGTTTTCATCAGCTGCAGTTGGTATAAAATTGACCTACTTAATTTGTCATTGTCTCAATCAATGTGCAGTCATTATACATATAGGCTACACACCAATTTAGAGGGATTTCAGCTATTTGGAACCCAACTGAAGGTGAAGCCAATTAGCTGTAATCCCGACAAAGAAGTGTGCAACCAAGGCTAACAATAAAGTAATGATACTAGCAGGCTTCAGTTGTAATAATGACAATGTGTTATCAAAGCAATGTATTACACAATTCTGGAACTCATCAACTCAGCTGAAATTATTCATGAGCTATAGTTCTTGGAACACAAAGGATATTATTCATGGGTTATACTGTTGCAAAATGTGAACAAATTTCAGAGAAATTGACATCAAGCCAAATTCCTTATCCATTATTGTACATTTATGAAGATGTGATTTATAACTATAATGCTATACCAAGAGTACATACTCTTGAGTCTTGACTGTATATATACATATAAATAAAGAATGGAGGGTTATAGAATAGGAACTAAAATTTGTGCTTACAGACACACAGACACACAGACACACATAAAATGTCTATACATGCACAAGATAAAAGTAGATAAACTTGATGGTTACTGAATATATACACAAGAATGCTAGTTGATTAAAAACTAAAGCAGAGATGAGGCTTCTAATCAACTAACATCAAGTGTATATATCCCTCAACATATGTAGTTTATCTGCTTTGTACTATAGTGTGTGGGTGCATAAAATCTAACTATACCAATGCCACTTCTAGTGGTCTCCACTCAGAGGAGAAGGTATGACACAGTTGACCTTTGATTAATGATTGCAAAGTTCAATTGCATTCCATTGGTATCACATGATGCAAAAAGGCCACTACCTCTTCTAGCAATAATTTTACAGACAGTGGGAAATCTATTGCTTCACTACAAACTATGATGATTGCAGTTCTTTTAACATCATAAGCTAGTGAAGATCAATTTATCTGATGAAGTAATGCAGATGATCAGAGTTAAGAGGCACTATCTCTTCCTTTTTCTTAGTATTTATGTCTATAATAAAAAACAAATATTCTTCATACATTGGTGATTCTCACAACCATCAAGGATCAGTTTCTGCAGTACAAGCGTAGCCAGTTTTGTGATAAGTCATCAGAAAGCTGCCATTTTGCACCACATGATTTATGGTGGAATGCAATTGAACTTTACAATTATTAATCAAAAGTCAATTGTGTCATACCTCTGGTCTCCACTATATAAACTTGTGGCAGTGCCTTTGATACACCCACACACTTTACTATAAATGTACATGTACATATTATAAGACTGTGAGATTAAGGAAGTGAAAAAATGTGCTATTATGCACATGAACATGTACATGTACATGACATGTACAAGAGTAACTATTACGTATCAAATATTAATTATTACATGTACATTGTATATTGTACATTTATAGTGCACTAATTATTGAACTATCTACCGGAAAATTTAGTTCTCTCCTAGCCCTAGCCATTTTTGGATATGGTCTTCATCTTATTTTTTAACAAATTTTAGAAATTTGTAAAAAAATCAACTTTGACCAAAGTCAGCTCAAACTTCTACACGATTAACATAAGTGCATATATGTATAAGGAAAATTATAAAAATGGAGAAATCTCTCCTTTTCATTTTTAGCAAAATTTGGCCAAAGTCCCTGTACTGCAGTATAGGGATTTTAACCCAATTTTTAAGCAACTTTAAACATTTGTAAAAAAATCAATTTCGACTGGAATCAGATCAAACTTTCTACACACCAATAAAATACTTCAAAGCCAAAGGTCAGTGTTGATTAGTGATACTCACTATAGTGACAACTACATGTAGTGATTGTTAGTTCTTATGATAATTGTTTATTTTATTTTATTTTTCACTAGTCCCTTACGAGCTCAATTCAAAGTTCATGTGATATACAGCACATTTAGAAGTGGGAAAGAACATCTGGTAAGAAAAAGAGTTTGAGTTAAGTTACTTTTTATTATAATATTTTTATGACCTTCTGGCTCAAGATCATCCTTATTATTATTTTCACCCACATTATGTATTTATAGTGTTTTCACACTTAAATTTCTTCTATACACATTGTATTGCAGAATTTACAATTAAAACCATAGATATTACTCTAGTATCTGTGATTAAAACATTTTAGCAATCAACCCTACCACTAATCTAAAAGCATGAGAAGGTAGAGAGATCTTCTATAAGTCTTAATGAGAATCCAACTGTGTATGCAAGGTGATAAAAATTATATGTTTACATGAGCTATTACACTTGTTAAAAATAGCCATAGCTCAAAAAGTTTTAGTTGGAGTCAGCGCAAACTTTGTACATGTAGCATAAAAATATTAATATGCATCAGAAAATGTAATAAAAAATTGAAGTGATTTCGGAGTCAATTTTTGAAAAAACCGTTGGCTATAATACTGGGTATTATTCAGACTTTGGCCAATTTTTGAAAATTGTCATAACTTGAAAATTAAAGTCGGAATGAGTTCAATCTTTCTACAGAGCATATGGGTATCAGTATGTATCGGAAAATGTAATAAAAATTTTCGGTGATTTTGGAGTCATTGCTTAAATCATGGGCCTTGCTTTTTTCTGAAAATTTGCTAATTTTTCAAGTGATCACAACTTGAAAAATTTTAGCCGGAATCATGTCAGACTAAAGCATAAGGACATCAAAACACACCCCAAAAGACTTCTACAGTATATTCCATATGCATTATAAGGTAGAACCTAGCTATGAATGCACATGGTGAAAAGAATTGTAGGATATTTCTAAAACTATAATTATGCCTGTTTTAATTTTTCAGGTCAGTTGTTGTAATTTGAATAGTTTGCTTCTCCGACTCACTATAAAGTCAGTTATTTTGGTTTGGATTTCCTCAATACATTTCTCACTACATTCCCTTTATTCACAACTCCACAGAATGTATTAGACTATCTTGCTAAAGTAAGAATAGCCTACACACTACAGTGAATTAAAATGTAGCATATTACATGTACATGTACATGTGTACAAGAACATAAAAAATTTAAAAAAAACAAGATGGAGTAGG